AAAAAAAAAAAAAAAAAAACAAAGCTAATTGCTTTTTTTTAATTGGAAAAATGTTGGCATCTTCTTTCCTCATCCTTAAGATACCCCAGCTCCTTTTCTACCTCTCATGGGCTCTCCCGAGCCTTGGGGCCACCTCTTGAAGCTGTGGCAGTGATGTCCATCGTGGAAAGGCGAAGTCCCCCTGACCGAGGGGCACAGATGAGCCACCCTGCTCCTGGCCTCACCTGTCCTCTGCCTCTTGCAGGTACCCTGTGATCCTGTCCATTGAGAACCACTGCAGTGTTGCCCAGCAGAAGAAGATGGCTCAGTACCTGACCGACATCCTTGGGGACAAGCTGGACCTGTCGGCTGTGAGCGGTGAGGACGCCACCATGCTTCCTTCGCCCCAGATGCTCAAGGGCAAGATCCTGGTCAAGGTGAGGCAGCAGGGCCCAGGGCCCAGGGCCCTTGCCGGCCTCTGTCTCTGGTTCCTGCCCTGCGGCTCTGCCCCTGGTGTCTGCTCCCCCCAGGGGAAGAAGCTTCCGGCCAACATCAGCGAGGACGCGGAGGAAGGCGAGGTGTCAGATGAAGACAGTGCTGACGAGATCGATGAGGACTGCAAACTCCTCAACGGGGACGTGAGTGTTGGGGCAGAGGGCACAGTGCAGAGTACACAGCTGCCTCGAGCTCGCGTGGCCTGCCCCACCCCACCAGAGCCAGGGGAACCCTGTCCCAGCGGGGACCCCACCCCACCACTCTGCTGGTGGCCCCTTTTGTTGCCCATTGCTGAGCTGACTTAGTGCTGCGAAATGCCTGGGCCCTGTCCTCCTGGCCCCTGAGCTCCTGGGGGTGGCCCTGGGGTGTTGGTCTCACACGGTTCCCACCCACACTGGCCTCCACCCAGAATATCCAGGATTCCTGCCATTTCCTGGCCAGCCCCAGCCAGACTGAGTGGCTGGTAGTCCTGCCGGGCAGACCCTGCCCAACATGAGATCAAAGCTGGGTGGATCCCAGGCTGAGAGCAGCAGGGCGAGCCATCCTGGCTGTGGTCCTCACTGCCTCCCCAGGGCTGGTGTGGCCCCCACGAGGGAGGGAGGCCAAGGAGTCTTGAGGCCCCTGGGCTCAAGGGGCTGGGGGTGGCTCCGTAATTGGCTTCTCACCCCCGCACTGTTCTGAGTTGCGCTGCTTCTGGGAGGTGGCAAGGCCTATTTCTCCACAGGGGCCATTGGGTGGGAAAATAATCTTACAGGAGGCTTCCTGGCCAGGCTGGCTAATTGTTTTAGAAAACACTGACACAACAGAACTCTTCCCATGCTGGGTGTGCCCCTCATGCATCTGCCTGCCTCCTGGGTGGGAAACCTGTGACCATGATGTCTGCTTGCCACGTGCTCCAACTGGGGGCCATGTGGGGCCGCTGTGGCAGGGAGGGCGCCCAGTGCAGCCCTGGCTCCTCCGACATCTGCCCTCTTCTCAAGTGTGTGGTGGCTGGTGTGTGTCCCTGAGCCTGTGCTGACCACTGAGCATGCTGACCTCCCCCTGAGTCCACTGGGCTGGGCACCTTGAGCTCCCCCGGGCAGCACCAAGCCACTGGAGGGACCTGATGGGCCTGGTCTGTGTATGGCCACCCTCAGCAGCCCGGGGTGAATCTCGGCCTCGAGAGCTGCGCCCAACAGTGTGCGGGCCCTAGGGCTGGGTACAGGTGCTAAGGGCAGGCCTCTGGCTCCCACAGGCCTCCACCAATCGGAAGCGTGTGGAAAACATCGCCAAGAAGAAACTGGATTCTCTAATCAAGGAGTCAAAGATTCGGGACTGTGAAGACCCCAATGACTTCGCTGTGTCCACCTTGCCCCCAGGGAAACCTGGGCACAGAGCAGAGGCCAGAAAGGTGAGGCCCCTGCGCGGCAGTGCTACCTGCAGCTCTGCACCTGCACACATATGCTGCTGTGTACACATCTGCACCCTCGCGTGCCTGCACATATATGCCTCAGTGACACACCCACACACCTGCCCCTTCCATGCACACCTTTGCAGACATATCACAACACCCATGAGTGCACATGTACCACACCTACCAGTATGCACACACACCTGTGTGCTCACACACTTTGCACACATGTGCCTACATACCTACTTGTACCCACGCACACCTGTATACATAGACTCCTGCACACCTAAACACACACATGTGCACACACGCACTCCCTGCCTGAGATCAGGGCCCAGGGGCTGGCGTGCTCTCCAGGTGAGTTTCGGTTGTCCCTGCTTCTCCACTGTGGAGAAGGAACCTGTGTGTTCACCCTGCCCAGGAAGATGGTGGGGCCCTGGCCCTATGGTATGGGTTGCTGGGGTCCTGTCCTTGTCTCTGCTCTTGTGGCTCTGACAGCCATGCCGGATCCCAGCTTGGGCACGGGGCCTCTAGGGGACAGACGCACTGCCCACCTCACAGATGTGCATCACCCAGTGGTGAGGGTCTCACACGTGACAGAGGGCAAGCAGGGTCCCCACACAGAGAGGACAGCATAAAGGCTGTCCCCCCAACCCACAGCTGTGTGGGGGAGGCCGGAATGGGGCCTCTCTGGACAGGGCAGTGAGCCTTGAAGGGTGGGCATGCCAGGGAGCTGTGCAGTGTTGGCAGATGCGGGTGTGGCAGTGATGACAGCCCCTCGGGCTGGTGCCTTGGGCTGGCTCCTGGCCACTTCCCAGGCCCTCAGGGAGGTGGGGAGGTGGAGAAGGGGTCCCTTCCTGGCTGTGGCTGTGCCCTGAAAGGACCGATATTTTTAGAGGCAGGTGCTTTCATTTCTGCCCACGGCCCAGCATGCTCGTTAGATGCATACAGGCCTGGCTCTGTTTCAATCCCCAGGTGTGCAGGTGGGACAGCATGGCCCACCTGAAGCTCTGCCCGGCCAGGTGGGGGTTGATGTTAAGTCTTTGCTTTCCTTGGCCAAACAACACGTGGCAGGGCATCTGGAGACACACAGGAGCCTAACTACCCCATGCATCTGCTGGGGCTTTCCTGGGGGGGGAGGTGGAAGGGGAGGAGGAGCTGCTCACGCTGAGCCACCATGGTGGGAGGAGGACTAGGCCCCCTGATGGCAGCACCAAGCTGCTCCTGCCAGCCCCACACAGCCCAGAGGGCCCGAGAGCCCTCAGGGACAGGCATATGTGGTGGACACATGGGATGTGTCCAGCAAGGATGCAGAGGGAAGCACCGACTGTGCCAGGCTGCCCGGACACAAGTTCTGTTGAGAACCCCTCAGGCATCTGCCTGACCTGTAGGACAGGGAAACTGTGGGACAGCAGAAGGCCCAGGCAGGAGGATGGGTTGCTGAGGAGACAAACGGAGGGGCCTCACCCACAGTGCTGAATGCCAGGGCAGGGGATGCCACTGGGTCCTCTGTGGGGACGGGCCAGCTGGGCCTGTTGTGACCCTGCCCCTCAGTGTCCTCAGTGCAGCTGGGGTGCTTGCCTCCTGGGCTCACCCTTGACAGGCTATGGCTTAGGACCAGGAGGGCCAGGCCTGGCTGCTGGCTGCCCACAGCCCCCATGGTGGCTGAGTGGAGCTGTTGCCTGTGTGGATGCCCTGGGGATGGCAGCAGATTATGTCCTTGCTGTGTGAGCTGTGCTGGCCAGCTTCTCTCCAGAGCCAGCATGTACCTCTCCTTAGTTAGACCCAGGTCACTCGTGGCTCGGTGATGGCAGTGTTTCGGTCAATGCCTCCACTGCCTCCGGCCCATGGGTGTGGTGTCCACACCTCTCTTGATGTGGCAGGGTCAGCTTTGATCCAAGAGGAGAGGGCCTGGGACTGTGGAGGCTGGGAGGGACAGCTCTCTGAAGGCTGCTGAAGATGGGAAGGCCCTGTGTGCCTTCTATGGATCTGCTTCAGGCTCCGGGCTGGCAAAGCCCCTTGCCTGGAAGAGCTGGCCAGCAAGGCCCGAAGGGTGGGCAGGGGGCAGGACTGCAGCTGGCAGTGGTGACTTCGGAGCAGATCAGCGGGGCTCACCCAGCCTTCTGCATGGGGCAGGGGCTGCCCGTGCTCAGCTTTCAGAGTATCAGAGAGGGTGGGAAGGAGGGGCGGCTGGACTGCTGGCCTGAGGGCGCTATGGCCAGGCACACTTAGTGGCTCTCACGGCAGCTCTGGAGTACCCATGGAGTGTGCGTGGTGTAGCTCTGTGTAGGTGTGTCGATGGCATACGTGAAGATGTGTCAAGTACAGAAGTGTCTGCGGCATGTACAGGGTGTGTGTGGTGTGCACCCAGGTGTCCACAGTGTATGCAGGAATGTGTCCACGTAAGCTGATTTGGCCATGGCGTGTGCAAGGTATATGGTCTGTGCAGGGGTGTCTGTGTTGCGCCCGTGCATATCTGTGGTATGTTCAGGCATGCACACAGGACCCTTCCCTTGCATGTTGTCAGGGTCCGTGTGGTCCTCACTTCCGGCTGCAGCTGCTCCCTGGCTGGGGCCCTGCAGCCACATGTGGTCTCTATGTCTCATAGGAGCTGCCCCGTCCTGAGCAGCTAGGAGTGGGATGCTGGGCACCTCCTGGGCAGGTGGGGCACAGTTTGGGGGCCCTGAGAGAGGGGCTGGTGGGGAGCAGGTGAGGGTGGCAGCAGTGGCATAGGTGTCTGCAGCTCGGCGTGGACGAGCTCTGGGGTAGCTGAGAGGATGGACAGGAGGAGGGGCACAGTGCCTGGGAACCAGGGTCATGGGGAGAGCTGTGTGGTTCTGAAGAGCCCAGTCTCAGCTCTGTGCCTGCAGGGAAGGCTCAGCCCAAGCCTGGAACCCGGCTTCCAGAGCCTGATGTTGGGCCCAGGGCCTGGAGTTACTGGGTGACCCTCTGGAAGTACCAGGCCTCTGGGAGGCAGGGCCCGAACAAGGCTCTGTAGGCAGCGTTTGTGGGAAAGCCAGGCAGCTGCATGGTGGGGCGAGAGCCATGCATGGCGAGAAGCTGGTGCTGCCTCCAGGCTTCGGCCTGGCATTGTGCCTCCTCCTCACCCTCAGCACCCCCAGCCCAGGCTCAAGCCCACTCTTCTAGGATGGCCTTAGAGCTGTGGGGAGTGACAGCCTTCCCCCCTTACCTCTGTGTCTCCCTTGGGGCAGAACAAGGCTGAGGAGGATGTGGAGTCAAGGGAGGACACCCGGGCCAGCAGACGTGATGGACGCCTGCTCATGAGCAGCTTCTCCAAGCGCAAGGTCTGGCCTGCTCCTGGCTGGGCCCTGGGAGGTGAACCTTGCGGAGCCAGCCTTCCTCCTTGTGCCAGGCGCTCATGGGCTCCTGGTCAGGTGCCTCGGTGGCCTCCTCTGGCCTGCTTGGTGCCTGAGCTCAGATACCCTGTGGCTGCCTGAGTTGCCAGGGCCCTGGCAGAGCCGAGCAGCTGGGTGGGAAGGGCCTGGAGGGCCCAGGCTGATGAGGTCGCAACTCTTCTCTGGTACAGAAAAAGGGCAGCAAGCTGAAGAAGGTGGCAAGCATGGAGGAGGGGGATGAGGACCCAGACTCGGCAGGAAGCCAGACACGAGGGTCAGTGCCCTGCAAGGGTGTGGGTGTCACCCTGGGGGACGGGAGGCCACGGCCCCACGCCCTTCTCCAAGTGACCCATGGGGCTGTCCCCAGATGGCATGTAAGACCTCAAGGCAGCCAGGGGAAGGAAGCCATTGTCCAGGTGACAGAAGCAGTGGGATGTGTGGGTGGGCATGGGGCTCTGGGCAGCCTGGCAGGCTGGATGCTGGCACAGGCTGGGCAGGGTGACACAGTCCTGAGGGCCCACCCCAGGTCCCTGGGCCCCATCTCTGCCAGGGCTTGGTGCCCCCTCCTCTTCCTTCAAGCCCCAGCCCCTCTGCCTTCTCTGGGGTGCTGTTTGTCCTGGTGATGGAGGTTCTCCATGGTCCCTGTGATAGGGATTCCCATGCCCCACAGGGGTGGCACTGGTCCCTGTGAGTCAGCTGCTCCCTGGGCACCTCCATGGTTTCATGGATGTCCCCTCTCCATGTGCAGCACTGGCCTCTCTGCCCACGGCCCTCTCTCCCCTCCCTCCCCTCCCAGGCCTCTCTCACCTGTCCCTGTTCCCTGTCCTCTGTCCCTCCCACCGTCCTACCCAGCCCTCTCCTGCCCCTCTCACTGCCCCACCTCCCCAGAACCTTCCAGAGCCCCTCCTGACCAGGCAGCCACCTCAGCCCCCATGGGCTTGGGGTGCCTGGGGTCTTAGCACTGGCTGGTGCCCTACAGGGGCCTTTGCCCAGCCCTGCCATGGTCTGGTCTGTCCCCAAGGGGGTAGCAGGCCTCAGACTGGGACAGTGGCTAGGCCAAGTGGCCGCTGTGTGCCCTGCCTGTGGAGTGTGGGCCTGGAAGGACCCACCCAGGCCTGGTAGTGGAGCCGTACACCCGGCTGGCCCTGGATGGGAGGGCACTGCAGCCCAACCACCTCTGCCACGCCCCGCAGGACAGCCCGACAGAAGAAGACCATGAAGCTGTCTCGGGCCCTCTCGGACCTGGTGAAATACACCAAGTCTGTGGGCTCTCACGACGTGGAGATGGAGGGTGAGGGCCGCAGGGCGGGTGTGGGGGCCCAGAGCCGGGCTGTGTGCACCTTGGACCCATGATTCATGCCACGCTCTGGGCCACAGTGGCCTCCAGCTGGCAGGTGTCGTCCTTCAGCGAGACCAAGGCCCACCAGATCCTGCAGCAGAAGCCGGCACAGTACCTGCGCTTCAACCAGCACCAGCTTTCGCGGATCTATCCCTCATCCTACCGCGTGGACTCCAGCAACTACAACCCGCAGCCCTTCTGGAATGCCGGCTGCCAGATGGGTGTGTGCCGGGCTACAGTGGAGAGGAGGGCACAGTCTGTGGGCACTGCTGTCCTGCAGCATGGCCAGCCGGGGACATGGGGCCTTTTTCTGTCCTTGCCCCCACCCCAAAGGTGGCTTTGGGGCACCTCCCACTCTGCCAGGCTGGCACCCAGCTGTGTCCTTCAACCCCAGCCAATCTGGGAAAGACCGCCCACAGCCCTGAACCTGGGTATGGGCTGGCGGAGCCCGGTGCCCCTTCCTGCCAGGACACAGGGCCTCTCCTCAAAGCTGTGAGCAGGAAGGGACATGGTGGCAGGGCTCATGATATGGGGATGGATGCTGACCCAGGGCTTCCTACCCTCACCCGCAGTCGCCCTGAACTACCAGTCGGAGGGGCGGATGCTGCAGCTGAATCGGGCCAAGTTCAGTGCCAACGGCAACTGTGGCTACGTGCTCAAGCCCCCGTGCATGTGCCAGGGTGAGGCAAGGGGGACACTGGACACTGGGGTGCACTAGGAGCAGGGGGCCAGGCTGCTGCCTGCTGCCAAGACACTTAACAATGGGGTGATACATCCTCTAGTTGTCAGCGAAGGGCCCTGTCTGCCAGGGTCTCGGGCTAGGAATCCGGGAGCCCTTCACCTACAACTGGGCCCATGTGAGGTTTGCGAGCAGGGCTGCTCTGAGGGGCCTGGCGCTGCAGCTGTGGCAGACACTTAGAGAGCCTGCTGCCGACACTTGACAATGGGGTGATACATCCTCTAGTTGTCAGCGAAGGGCCCTGTCTGCCAGGGTCTCGGGCTAGGAATCCGGGAGCCCTTCACCTACAACTGGGCCCATGTGAGGTTTGCGAGCAGGGCTGCTCTGAGGGGCCTGGCGCTGCAGCTGTGGCAGACACTTAGAGGCCTGCGTCCCTCTGCCCCTGGGGTGTGCCCTGCAGTTTCCAGGCTTCTCCTCCTTCCTCACCCTATCTCTGCCCTACTGAGCTGTCTCTGTGCATGACATGGCCTTGAGGTCCCCAACCTGTGCGAGCTCCTGCTGCCCCCATTTCCTCGCTGTCCCTGTGCCTGGATAGGCCCTAACTGCAGCCAAGTCCCCAGAGTCCCAGAGTCAGCTGCAATGTCTGCGGGGTGCTGGCCGCTGTGCTCACACCCACGTCCTCTTAGGCGTCTTCAACCCCAACTCTGAGGACCCCCTGCCTGGACGGCCGAAGAAGCAGCTGGCCTTGAGGGTCATCAGTGGGCAGCAGCTCCCCAAGCCTCGGGACTCCATGCTGGGCGACCGCGGGGAGGTAGGGCCAGGGTGATACAGGCAGGGTGGGCTGTGGGGGCCCTGTGCCACCCTCACCCCAGTGCCTGATGCCACCCCTACCCTGTCCCCAGATCATCGACCCCTTCGTGGAGGTGGAGGTCATTGGGCTTCCCGTGGACTGCAGCAAGGAACAGACCCGTGTTGTGGATGACAATGGTGAGCACCTCATGCCAGCCTGTGCCTGTGCTGGTGACTACAGCCCAGCCTGGCAATGAGAGGCCAGGGCCACCTGCTGTGTGCCAGGTGTCCCACCCCGCCATGGCCCCCGCTCTCACACTCTGGGGCACAGGCCCAGGCTGCAGCCGTCTACATAGCCCACCCTTGCTCCAGGATTCAACCCCATGTGGGAGGAGACGCTGGTGTTCATGATGCACATGCCTGAGATCGCGCTGGTGCGCTTCCTTGTCTGGGACCACGACCCCATCGGGCGCGACTTCATCGGCCAGAGGACGCTGGCCTTCAGCAGCATGATGCCAGGTGGGCGGGCCAAGCGGGGTTGACCCTGACACACAGGAGCTCCTCTCCTGCTGGCTGTGGGGTGCCCCCAGGAGGTCCCTGCAGGCTCCACGATGCACACTGGGGGGTGCTGTGGGAGGAGTGTGGGCCTTGGGGCAGAGTGGGGAGGCCCTGATGACCCTGAGATGGTGCCCCAGGCTATCGGCACGTGTACCTGGAGGGGATGGAAGAGGCCTCCATCTTCGTGCATGTGGCCATCAGCGACATCAGTGGTAAGGTGAGTGCCATGTGAGAAGAAGGTGCTGAGGCCCGCTGGTGACCTCACTGGGCTTCCTCCCCCAGCTGATATGAGGTATAGAGCCTCTGGGTCCCTGCCCTGGGAAGGAGTCCCCTGGTGTCTCCTCCCTGTCCTCCCCCTTGGTGGCCCCAAGAAGTGCCAACTGTCTGGCTAAAGGGATGGCACCTCATGGCCTCTCACGGCCTTCTCTCCCTCCCCTCTCCTGAGCCTCCCTGGCTGCCTCCCTTGCAGAGTTTCTGGATTTGTCCCTACCCAGCCCCCACACATTGGCCACAGGCCAGACCAGGGCAGGGTCTCCAGCCTGTGAGCTGGCTGCTCTTCCCAGGGGGTTCTGGGCCCTGGTGACCTCTCTTTTCTGCTGTGCCCATGGGGCCAGAGGCTCTGCAGGGTCCTGTTCTCTGCTGCTGCCGTCCGTCTGTCTGTCCGTCATGTCCTCCTGTCTCCATGGCCGCGGCCCCCTCCCCAGCCTCCCAGGCCACTCACCGGCCTTCACTCTGTCTCTTTGGTCTTGCAGTGGGCTTCTGTATGTCCAAAGTCTACTTTTAGAAGCGCAGCCTTGTTAGGAACCTCGAAGGTACCCGGGTGCCACAGGCCTGTGCAGCCTGCGCCCCTGCATGCCAGGTCGCGCTCATTAGCATCCGTGACTCCTGGTAGCACTTTGGAGACTGTCAGTTCATTTGATATGGGCCATGACATGGTTCCGGATCCCCTGGGCCATCCTCAGCCAGAGTGGCATTTATGAGGCAGCTCCAGGATTCAGCCACCTCCTCCTCCCAGCACTTCCATGTCCCCGTCCCTCCTCCTCACCCTTGGGTGTCCGCGTCTCTACCCCGATGCCCTGTCCTTTCCCCTTTCCTCCCTTCCCTCTGTGCCCCCTGTGCTGTCATTTCTCAGTGCCCTCCCATTCCCTCCTCAATCTGCCAGTGCCTGGGGTGGGGGACGCCATGGGGCCTGGCACTCCAAGTCTGAATCCTGGATCTCCTCCTAAATGGCATTCCAGCCCATGTTGACCAAATCGCACTGGATTTGGGATCTTGAATCAGGACACTGATTCAAGTCTGGCCATGTTATCACCTCTGCCAGCAGAGCCCCGGCCTCCGGGCCCTGGGGTGCTCTGCACCAAGCACAGCCTGTCCTGGGGACCAGTGGGTGTTGCAGAGTCTCCGTGGGGCTCAGGGGTTTCTGGCATGTGAGGACCTCTGCTCTGCACTTGTGAGATGCAGCTGCCCGTGCTCTCCAGTGGAGACCCCATGGTGACCTTCCCGCCCAGCTGGACAGGAAGTGGCTGTGGCTGATGGGCTGGGAGCCTGAGTCCAGCCGGGCAGTGGTTCAGTGCCGACCAGCTGAGGATGCAGGCTTTTGCAGGCCAGGGGTAGGGCTGGGCAAGTGGAGGCTGCCTGGAGCAGTGTCCCTGTGGGTCACCAGGAGCAGGCAGGCAGGGCTGGGGGCGAGCAGGCTGCCGGCACATCCGGCTGTGCTTGCTTTCACAACAGCTGCTGCTGGGGGCTTGGTGATGTGACCCACAGCAACAGCAACACCTTGCTTCTCTGCAGTCCACAGAACGGTGCTAGTGTGGTGGGCGGGGCTAGGCTTGAGGCAGTCCTTGAGGCCCAGGGAAGGGTGATTCCTGCCTCCACCCAGAGCTCGGAAGGCTATTAGTCTGAGAGGGGCCCTGCTGTCCCTGGTGGGGCTGCTGGGAGAAACCCGGCATCCTGCATGCTCTCTGGCCAGCAAGCCCAGTGGCACCTGGCCTGTCCTCACTGTGTGCCTGGTGGGGCCCTCTGGGAGCCCATGCTCGGCTGCAGCCACAGCCAGCCTACATGTCCTGGCACCAGCTATATGGGCTCCTTCTTTTGCAGGCCAAGCAGGCTCTGGGCCTAAAAGGCCTCTTCCTCCGCGGCACAAAGCCAGGCTCCCTGGACAGTCATGCTGCTGGGCAGCCCCCACCCCGGCCCTCCGTTAGCCAGCGGCTTCTGCGGCGCACGGCCAGCGCCCCGACTAAGAGCCAGAAGCCGGGCCGCAAGGGCTTCCCAGAACTGGCGCTGGGCACACAGGATGTGGGCTCTGAGGAGGCAGCTGATGACACGGTGCCCCCTAGCCCTTGTCCCACTCTGGAGACCCCGGCCCATGATGGGCCAGGCAGCAGCATCCCCCGAGGTAAGGCACCGGGGGCAGCAGCAGTAGCTGCTGAGCGAAGGAGCCCCGTGCAGGTGCGGCCCCTGCGTGGCCTCAAGGGCTCTGGGCCCGCCGGGATGGCCTCCACGTGCATGAAGTGCGTGGTGGGCTCCTGCACTGGTACAGACAACGAGGGCCTGTGGAGGGAGCGGCAGCCCAGCCCAGGGCCCGCAGGCAGGCTCACGACCATCTGCCAACAGCCCCAGGCCTGGGTGGAAGCGCCTGGGAGTCCCTGCAGCCCCGGCCCTCGAGCTGCCCCAGGGAGAAGCAAAGAGGCCTCTAAGGGCTCCGGGGCCCAGCGGCAGGGCGCAGGCGGCAGCAGCAGTTCTGTGTCCTTGGACTCCAGCAGCCTAGACAACCCGGGCAGCCCCCAAGTGGCCCCCTGCCCGCCAGGGGGTGCCCACAGACAGCTGGGGGCCCTGCAGGGAGAGATGAATGCTTTGTTCACTCAAAAGCTGGAGGAGATGAGGAATAGTTCCCCCATGTTCTCCACGGGTAAGGCCAGTGCTCCTCTGCACTGCGTGCTCTGCACACCCTGGCATGCCTGGGGCTCCATCCCCCGTTGTGTTCCTGTCTGCTTCAGTGTGCTCCTGCGGCCCTGTCTGCCCCTCTACACCAGAAACCCCAGCACTCTGCGGGCGACACCAGGCGAATTTGGGTCACTTGCTGTGCCTGACCCCTGGTCCAGCCAGGCCTCTCCCGGCCTAGTGGTGCAGTGATGGGGCACCACAGATGTCCTGTGCCAAAGGTGGCTGGGCCTGCATGCGGGACCTCGGAGTTTGTGGAGGGCTGAGCGCACTTCCCTTGCTCAGAGCCAGCTCCTGGAGCTGCCACCCAGTCCCGCAGTGAGCAGAGTGGGGAGCTGGGTGCCAGACCGCAGCCTGGGTGGGAGGGACATGTACTGAGCCCCTCATCCTGCTCTGCACCCCTGCCTGTCTTGCTGTCCGTCCACCCCTCTGCCAGCCCCACCCTGCTGACCTTGTTCTCCTTTCTGTCCCTGCACCCCGGGCTGCCTCCATAGTTAGGGACTGAGAGCCGCGTACCAGGTAATGGCCCAGCCCCTGTGTGTGCCGTGTTGCCCTGGGCCCTGCAGACCCTGAGAGGGAGCACAGGGCATGGGCATCTTGCCTGGCCACAACCCGGTCCCAGCAGCAGCAGGGATGGGGGCACACTGAGTGCGCCACGTTAGCCAAGTACAAATGGGCAGGCCTGGCTGCTGGGGATCCTGGGGGGCGGTGCTCACACTTGTGGACGGCGCTGCAGGGAACCCGTCACTGTTGCATCTCCTCTGACTCAGTCTCTGCCCCTCTCCCCACAGGTGCCCGCCCGTTCTCCACACAGCGGTCCATCTCCCCCTTGTGCAGCCTGGAGCCCATCGAGGAGGAGGCGGCCACCCCCACCAGCCCTCCCAGGGGGCGGTCCCTGCACTCCGCAGGACCTGTGGCCAAAGCGGCCAGTCCCCTACAGATAGCTCGGGGACCTCCAGGGCCCCTCCAGCTTAGGACTGGGGTCCATGGGAACAGTGAAGAGGCTCCTGGAAAGCTGCTCAATGGTGAGGGGCCCACGGGCAGCCAGACAGACAGCAGGAGCCAGCCTCGAGCCCTGGTCCTTCTGCCTGCAGTCAGAAGGGCCAAGAGTGAGGGTCAAGTGCCCCTGGAGCCCCTGGGTGCATGGCGGCCGCTGGCTGGGCCCGCTCCCATCCCTGCTGTCTACTCGGATGCCACAGGCAGCGACCGGACATGGCAGCGGCTGGAGCCAGGCAGCCACCGAGACAGCGTGTCCTCCTCTTCCAGCATGTCCTCCAGCGACACAGTCATCGACCTCTCCCTGACGAGCCTGGTTCTGGGCCGCAGCCGTGAGAGCCTGGCTGGGACCCCCCTGGGCCGCCTGCCCCCACGGCCCTGCACAGCCTCTACAGCCCCGCCCGACCTGCTTCCCGTGACCAAGAGTAAATCGAACCCCAACCTGCGGGACGCTGGCCAACTGCCTCCCACACCCGACGCGCTGACACAGTCATCGACCTCTCCCTGACGAGCCTGGTTCTGGGCCGCAGCCGTGAGAGCCTGGCTGGGACCCCCCTGGGCCGCCTGCCCCCACGGCCCTGCACAGCCTCTACAGCCCCGCCCGACCTGCTTCCCGTGACCAAGAGTAAATCGAACCCCAACCTGCGGGACGCTGGCCAACTGCCTCCCACACCCGACGCGCTCTAGCCCCGGCCTC